TCTGGGAAGGTGGTTCCAGTTCCTGGTCCTCACAAACTGCTGGAAGAGCAACAACAACAAAATACTTTTAAGAGCACTTCAGTAAAGACACTTGCTGTGGAAAAGAACAGCATATATACTGAGGAGAAAACAATAGGAAATAATGCATTTCTCCTTCCAATGTCTGATAATAATTATTATGATGATGATAATATCATAAGGTATAATTATATAAATTATAATATGATTTTCTTTTTTTGCGAAGTGCCTCCTAGTCAGTTCTGATTCATAGCGACCCTGGAGAGGGTTTCCAAGAAGCAGCTGGTGGGTTTGAACCGCCAAACTTGTGGTTAGCTGTTTAGTGCTTATCCTAAAGCAATACACCAGTAATAACAATTAGTAATTAGTAATAACAATTGCAACTGTAACGCTGGCAGTTCAAAATCTACCATTGGAAACCCTATACAGGGTTCTTATGAGTTGGAAACTTGACAAACACTTAACAACAACTGGTCCATACATTGCTGTTGTTATGAAGTGCCATCAAGTTAGTTCCGACCCATAGCGACCCTGTATAGGGTTTCCAAGGAGCAGCTGGTGAGCTTGAACCGTCAACTTACAGTTCAAATGGCGTTGCAGTCTGGCGCATAAACCTACAGTGCCACACCAGGAGTCCAACTAAGTCCATATGGTGGTGGTTATGTGCCGTGGAGTTGGTTCTGACTCATAGCGACCCTGTGTACGTGGTTTCTGAGGCTATAAATCTCTACGGGAGCAGAAAGCCTCATCTTTCTCCTGTGGAACAGCTGGTAGTTTTGAACTGCTGACCTTGCGGTTCACGGCCCGATTCGTAACCATTACGCTACCAGAGCTCCTGAGTCCATATAGTCACGTTTATTTTTTTCTTGTTTTAGTTTTTTTTCCTAGTGAACATATGTATTTGGTTTAGGCATTTTTTTTAAGTAGTTTTACTTTGATCCACCCCTCTGAAATCACATTTGTTTACCATATTCCTGAGAGGACTGAGAGTATCTCATAGGAAACTGAAGAATTTTGGGAGACATAGTGTGTTATAATAACAACTTTCTGGACAGAAATTTGTTCTAAGCAAATTTGTACAGTGCCATTTACAATGTAGCCACACAATATCTATTGTATTAAGAAATCCGTTTTACTTTGCTTGTTTCCCCCAAACCTAAAAAAAATCTACATGCTATAAATACTCTAACAAATTTTCATTTTTATTATTTAACTGTTGAGCATTATTTGTTTTCTAGTGTGTGTCACCACATATGGCACCACCTTTATTATATCTGATTTAAAACATGAGCTAAATTATAATAAATAAATATTTATTTACAGCCTACTGTCTGCCAGTGAATAAGTGAATATATTTTGGGTCAGAACTGTGCCTAATATTTTCCTATGCCAGTCTATCACTCAGAATATGTGCAAGTACTAGAAAATCATATAACTCAGAATTGCTTTACTTTTTATAATGGCCCTTTTTATTGACTTGCTTAAGTAGAATGCAAAGGCAGGGTGGATGTCAATGTTGATTGATTTGACAAATCAGTGATAAAATTGACAACCGTCTCTCCCTATATCTTCATTCTATAGTTCAAAGTCCCACCTTCATCCTTTGATATCCATGGTTGCCTAGGATGACAACCAGCAGCCAGTAGCATTCTCTGTTTCTTACATCATGGAAAGAGCTTATTTCTGGAATCTTTCCCAAGTAAATAAAAGGAATTTTCTAAGAAATCCACAACAAACAGGTTCTTGTGTCTCATTGACCATACTGTGACACAAGTCCATTCCTGAGCCAGTACTTTGTAAAGGCAATGGATATTTGCTGCTTAGCCTAGACCCAGAGAAAGACCCATTAAAAACCTGTAAAATGTAAACGATACAACCTTACTTGCTGAAAATGAAGCGTATTTGAAGCATTTATTGATTAAATTCAAATACTACAGCCTTTGGTATGAATTTCATCTCAATATCAAGAAAATAAAACACCTATAAACTGGACCAATTAGCATTATTGAGTTCATGTTCAGGCATTGTATTAAGTACTTTATATATCCATTATGTTATTTAATCCTTACAGCATTCCTGTGAGGCATTATTATCCTCATTTTACAGGTGAGAAAGTTGAGGTACAGAAAGGTTAAGTACCACCTTATAAATCAGCTTGTGAGTGGCTGGGTTCATAGAGGAGAGAGTGGCTCCCAGATTGAGTAGTAGAGCCAGAAGATGCAACAAAACTGAGCCCTATTCATTCCAAAAGTTAACTAGTCATTGACCCAAGACACACAACAGTCCTTTGAGCTCCCAAACCCTACTGTTTCCGTAAGTCATGGCATCAGCTAAGAAACTGACCTTACCTGACTCCTTTGTTTGGTTTGTAACTGCATCCTTTGAAGATCTAAGTTCAACTTCCACCACTAATTTCTTCAATGAACTGGTTGGGAAACCAAAACACAGTGTCTCCACACAAAACTGCTGATGAGCAAGTAAACTTGGGAAGTGCCTCCTGGGTCCCAGAACAAAAGTATCAACCTGGGGAGCAACACTGGGTTGAGTAGAATTTCTCAACCCCTTCAGGGGCCTAAAGGTCACACCTGCCAATCTCTCCAGCATACCTGTCTCACAGGATCACAGGAAATAAAGACCCACTTGAAATTTCCCATTCAGTTGGTGTTCCCTGATCCCCCAACCTTTCCCCAGGAGGTAAATGATCTCTAGTTTGCCCAGCAGGGGGCATCCTCACCCTTCCACTGCCTGCCTTTGTAGGGAGCAATTGGCCAGCAACCTGGGGTACCTTCTATTCAGCTCAGCGCAGGAACCCAAGTGGGGTACTCATGAGACTTCCATGATTTTCTCCATATCCATTCTACTACTATTTAGATAATATATTTTTTTTGTCAACTCACATTTAAAAAAATATATTATTAAAAGAAAAAATGTATTATTGAAAGAAAAAAAACCTCCTTGATGAACCGGCTTTCCAGTTCTCCACTGCCTGGATCTCCTGAATTCTTAGGGCTGACTTTGCAGGATGCTGGCAGGAGAATAGAGTACAGGCCCCTATCAAAGCTACAGTGAAGTCTCAAGAACCGGGTCAGGTCATTCCATTGGGTGAACATGGGCGAGACTTTATTCTAGGGATTCAGAACTGTAACCTTCCTGTACGTCCACTGATAGGAAGGACCAGAGTAAGGGATCTTGCAACCCCCAACTTCCCTGTAGTACTCCTACCCTCAATCCCCTCCTACCTCCCCCTTCCCCTATGAAGAGAAAAAAACCGTGTCCCTTCTCCCTCCCAGCTGAGTCAGACTGACCACAGGCTGCAGAGGCACTTGAGTGTTGGGGACTAGGCACTCAGTAACAACAGCAAGAGGTGTGGGGGCTGATGGCTTTAGGGCAGACAAGAGGGAGAGACTTGGGTACAAGTAGCAAAGACAGGTTGCAGGTGACAGGTGCTGGGGTTTGGGAAGGGGCAGGGATTTCCCTTGCAAAATCCATTCAAACAGACAGAGAGGGAACCTGATCCCAGGGAGGAAAGCTGAACTACAGGGGCTACCTGATCAACCTCCAGAGGGACTCAAGGCTGAAGTGGGACAAAGAGAGGGGCAGGGGGCCTAGACTCCTGGAGGAGGTCCTGAATGGTGTCTTTGAAGTTCAGGCCTTGCTCTAGGCTCCACCCCTCTGGTCTTTGTGTTCCTTTCCTTGGGGTTAATTTTGTGTTAGGAGTCCCATCAGTTCCATCACTGACCCTCTCTGGCTGGTTTACAGAGTGCATTCTCTCTGAAGCTCCTCTTCCACCTCCATCCTCCTGCCCTGGCCCAGACTGACCAGCAGAGGTAGTTCTAGGTCTAGATGGCCACACAGTTGTCAAGGGGTAGGACAGAGGCCATGTTGGGACCTGGGGCAGAAAACCAACCAGTCCCTGAGAGGGGAAGGAAGCCTTGTCTCCGCAGGAGGGTTAAGAAGGGTGATAAGAGTAGCTAGTTAGGCAAGCGGAAGTGGGCTGGGACTGAGCTGGGCTGGGACAAAGGCAGTGTTAGCACTGAGTTGAGGCCTCTCTGGAACAACCTTCTTGCACCAAGTATTTTCACCCCAGGTTCCTTGTACAAAGCAGGGGGAAAGGACCTGGCAAGAAAGTCCAGTGGTGGCTGGTCATCAAATGTTGCTCCCAGTAAGGCTGTGTGAGGAGTGGTGGAGGTTCCAGGCCTGGGCCAGGTGCAGCCAGTCAGGAGAAAGTGTCTCGCATGTGGCAGATGAGGACCGAGAGGAGAGGAGATTGCTTCATGTACTCCTCATTTTCATGAGGAGGAAGCATTGAGAAAGCAAAGCAAACTTTGCTTATTCAAAACACTCAATCCCAGGTGGTCCCTGTCCTCACCTTTGACTCTTATTTCCAGGGTGGTCCCAGTCTCTCACAGCCTCTAGACAGACCCCTTTATTTGGGACCCCACCCCTGTGGAGACCTCGTCCAATGGTAGATTCCTTACACCCTTCCTTCAGTCCAGGCCTAGGTAAGTCTTCCCAGCTGGTTCCCCATATTGTTTCTTCTCCAGCACCCTCGCCCTTGCACCAGACTAGGATCTACTTCATGAAACTGAGAAACCCTAGCTCCAAGATGACCAGGCCTCATGACCTGCTTCTCAGCTCTGCACAGTATAGAGAAGGAAGCTCTAAGCAGGAAGTGCAGAGGCAGAGGGTGAGGGCGGGGGCTTCCAGGAGGGAAGCTGGGCCTTGCTTGGCCAGGAGCTGAGACCACAGCCCCCACAGTAGCCAAGGCGGGAGGAGGCTGATTTACAAGGCAGATGGGCTCCTGGCTGAAATCCTCAGCCCTGCACCCAGCCACACCATCCTGTGGACTATAAGAGCACCCAGACTTCCGGACAAGCTCAAGGCGGGTGCCATGTGAGCCTGGCTTGGCTCCCCCCTCCTTCCTCCCCTCCTTCTGCTCTCCGGTGCCAGCTCAGCCTCTCCAAAGAGGGACACTTGGTGCCATGTCTCTGCTCAATCCTGTCCTGCTGTCCCCCAAAGTGAAAGCCTATCTGAGCCAGGGGGAGCGCTTCATCAAATGGGATGATGTGAGTGGGGCAGGGCCCATGGTTGGGACTTGGCTGCAGGGGGACTTTGTCAGGGTGGGTGGGTTGGTTTATATCTGCTAGGAAGCAAGCGCATGTGTGAGCAGATGCTCACAAAATTGACTGGATAAACAAAGGTGGGGTTTGTCCCCCGAGTGTGCTGCCCTCTGGCACTGTGGTTATGGCTCTATCTGGGTTGATCCTCCTAGATGATGGTCATGGGAGGTTGTTTCTTTGGGTCTGGGTCTGTCTTCCTCCTAATCGCCACAGAAGAGCTGGGGTTGTTGCTATGAATCTCAGGATTCATAAGAGGAAAGCCTATCCCAGAACTGAGGGAAGGCCAAAGGCAGAGGGGAGCCCAGCCCCAACAGACATCCCACTCTTATTGTGACAGAGGTGGGTACCAGACTGTGATCCTTTCCCCTCCCCACTTGTATTGGTGCTACCCCAGGGAATTTACACTCTTCCCAGAGCTGCTGAGGGAATAGCAACAAAAGATCTTCTAAGCCTCAAGTGAGAATTGGGGGCCTCTGCTTCTGGGGCCTGGCAAGGAATGGATGGCCTTGCTGGGTTCAGTCTGGCACCATCCACTGGCCTGCAGGAATGGAAGGGAGACATTATTTGGCCCTGCTCTCTGTCTCTTCCATGTTCACTCCTTGGCAAGGTGGGGCCAAGTTCTCAGCCACTGGTCCTCTTGTTGTTGTTGGTAAGAGTTGTCGAGTCACTTCCAACTCATAGTGACCCTGTGCATAGGGTTTCCAAGGAGTGGCTGGTGGATTTGAACTGCCAACCTTGTGGTTTTAACCAACTTTGTGGTCCGGTTCTTATCCTACAGTGCCATACTAGGACTCCATACTTCTTGTTGTTAAGTGCAGTTGAGTCGGTTCTGACCCATAGCACCCCTGTATAAAGTTTCCAAGGAACGGCTGGTGAGCTTAAACCACCGACTTTGCAGTTCAAACCATTTGCTGTCCAGCGCATTAACCCCCAAAACCACACCAGGACTCCTTACTGGTACCCTGAAAACAGATCAAGGATTCTCTCCCATGTGCAAGGAGAACAATATGGTGACTTTCACTGGGCTAGTTTCAAGAAGAGAAAATATGGGGAAAGGGAAAGGGACCACTAGGGTTGGTTTCTCTGCTTTATAAGGTGAGGTAAGGGGGCTCTGGTCTGTGAGTGAAGAAGGCCGGGACTCCAGGTCTCTCAGGGCTGGACTTGGCTGAGGAATCTGGTTGACATAACTATAGGGAAGGGGCCACTTCCTGCTTTCCTAGGAATGGTATATGGTTGAGCTGGTGTGGTAGTAGCTTGGTGATTGTATGTCCCAGGAACTGGTGGAGTGAGGGAAGTGACTCAGAATGAAAAATGAAGTGGTCTCTCTCAGTTCCTATGGGCAGTATGTGTAATCAAATTGGGCAGAGAAGATCCCTGGAGGTGGGACATGCTATGTGGCCTTCTCCCAAAATCAGCACCATTGTACCTGGCTGCATCCCCATCCCCAAAGACAGGACACTACAAGTTCCCTGGATCCTGACTTCCACGAGCAGCATCCACATTCAGTCAGTCACTGGGGACGTGTACCTGTGAGATTAGGCTCTGCTTGTATCTTCAACCAAGTTAACATTAGCTAACTCAGGGTATGCAGAACCATGTTGAATAAGCACAATGCATAGGATGTATAAAGTCCCAATTTTATCCTGTCTCCCACTGCTCCTTTAACATGTATTTGATGGGAGAGATTTTCTTCCTGCCCTTGGAAGAAAACTCAACAAGCCACAAGATGTTCCATTTGCTTTGGGATAATAGACAATCCTATGACCAATTTTTGTATAAAATCTAGTCTTTATTTCAGAGACTGTTGTTGCTAAGTGCCGTCCAGTTGGTTTTGACTCATAGTGACCCCGTATAGGGTTTTTGAAGAGTGGCTGGTGAGTTTGAACTGCTGACCTTGAGATTGAAAGTGACCTTAAGGTACAATGTTTATCTGATAGAGCCTAGTTATAATCAAAACTCCAGTCTTTATTTAGAATAACATCTTCCCTCCTCCCTCTCGGAGGTTTAGGGTGGGTTGCAGGTGTTCTAGAAAGGGTCTGTGACTGGCTCATGTTCTCTGAGCCTGGTAGAGGTTATAGATTATTTTTCTCTCTGGTGGACATTTCTGTGAACTTTTGGATGGCCTTCCTCCTGGAGTTTTGAGTTTGTTCCAACTCATAGTGTCTCTGTATAGGGTTTCTGAGGAGCGGCCGGTGGATTTGGACCACCGGCCTTGCAGTTCACAGTCTGTGCTTATCCTACCAGGACCCCCACCCCCGGAGCTAGAGCTGTATTAATTGAGGTACTCTTAACAACTCTATCTCAAGGGATCACTCACAAACTACTTCTTAGCTTCATGTGGATTTGAACTCTTTGTGATCTAGAAGCCCAAACTAGCTTTCTCTCCCAAGGGCCCACTTTGGTCCCCAGCAAATATTCACGGATGGGCATCTGTTGCCCCAACACATTGTGGGTGGAAAGTTCATCCAACACACTTGTTTCTCTCTGGCTCCACCTCTAATAGAGTCAGTCTGTTGGTAATGTGCTTTGTTTTATGGGCAGGAGTCAGACTCCAGTTTGCTCTGCCCCACAACTGCACAGGTCACGCAAGCTGTCTAAATACAGTTGAAACCACTTGCTAGGCTTGAGGTGAGGGGTCAGGCTCTCCAACCCTCTAGTGGGTAGGGAGAAGATGAAACTCCCTGTGCAGCTTTCTCCAAAATTAGCCTCATCACAGAATGTTCTCTTCCTGCTATACTCTCATTGGAAACCTGTTTTTGACTATGTCTTTTATCAATTCTGCATTTCTTCTGGTTTGCTACAATTATGCCTCGTTGCCTTGGAGGAAACTTTCATTTCGATTTCTTGTTATTTACACCTATGTTGTTATTGCTAGTGCTGTAGAATCAGCTCCGACTCCTTGTTGTTGTTGTTAAGTGCTGTCAAGTCAGTTCTGACTCATAGCAATGCTGTATAGTGGAGCAGCTGGTTGGTGATTTGAACCCACCAGCTGCTCCATGGAAGAAAGATGTGACAGTCAGTCTGCTTCTGTAAAGACTGTAGCCTTAGAAACCCTAAGGGGTATTTCCACTCTGCCTCAGTAGGGTCACTATGCGCGAATCAATTCATCTGCAACAGTGAGTTTGGTGTTTGGTTTATATGTGCTCTTTAAGAGGAACAGGAATGCAGGAGATCTAGAAGCCCACTCATTCATTCTTTCATCCAGCAAACATGGACTACCAAGTTCATGTTCCAGCACAGGCTCTTTACTCTGGAGTCCATGGGTCCCTGGGTCCCTGAGGAGTTTCCAGATGGACTTCAAGGGTTTGTAATCCTGATTGTTACAGCTTATTTCAGGGAAGGCTTTTCAGAAGAGGTGAGACCTAGACTGGTCTTTGAAGGATGTTCTGTGCAGGGGAGGCTTGCGGTGAGCATGCACTTAGTGTCTGTGGGATGGTTGGAGTGGAGACAGTTCATGCAGGGGAGGACGGGCATGTGGGAAGTTAGGGCCTTATGTAGTATTGTGCAGGGTCTTGGATGAGGTGCAGGAGTTTGGGATCCAGGTTCTCCCTGTGTCGAGCTCTCCTGGGTGGTAGCTGGGATTCTTAGAGGCATTCTATCCCTTTGGCCAAATGGTGGCCCTTGTAGGATCCAAGACCCTATCTGGACTCTAAAGAGGAAATCTCTTTTGGGGGTTAGAGGAAAAATCTCATCTCTTCAATTCTCTACTCTGACCACTCCTGGCTCAGAACTTTGAAAGCTCATGCCCAGACATTAGATCTGGAGAACAATGGGAAATGTCTTCAGATTCCCAGTACTGGCACCTCTTGGGGGGATGGTGAGCCCTGAAAATGCTGCCTGACTCAGCCTGGGCCAAGGAAACATGTTCTCAGGTCTCAGAGCAGAGAGCTGACTCCTTCTCTCTGTAGGAAACAACAGTGGCCTCCCCGGTTATCCTCCGAGTGGATCCCAAGGGCTATTATTTATACTGGACATATCAGAGTAAGGTAAGATAGCCCAGGGTCTCTGAACCTTCCTGTTTATCTTAACCATGGAGAGGTGAATAGTGGGCAGTATAGCATGATCTGGAAGGGTGGCTGGCTCTGGGGTTCTCATGTGGGCAGGGGCTGTTTGCTCTGACATTAGACCCTATGACTGGGAGGGATACTGGAATCACTCCAACTCATGGCTGCCTGGGACCCAGATACTCCAGCCTCAGTATCCCCAGGAAAGAAAAAGGGCTGTTGCTAAAGAGTGATGCTGGTTATTGTTTTGGGTAAACCGGAGGACTAAAGGTCTTGGCATCCAGGCAGAAGGAAGGGAAGGTGAATCTGGGGAGAGTCCCGGATGGTAGATGAAACACTGCCTTGTCATTCCAGTGGCTCAGGGAAGGAAAAGAGAGATAGGAGAGTAAGAGGGTACCATGAGTAGGTTGAACTTGATGGATGGGAAGGGAACATTGGGATTGGGAAGCCCCAATCTGTCCTGGCACCCAGGAAGGGCAGTTTTATGGGAGTGTGGGACCCCCTCCTCCCTGTTCTTCTTTCTTGACTTGACCTTTCTGCCTCACACCCTTTCTTTGCTCTTACTGGGGCCTCCTCCAGGAGATGGAGTTTCTGGATATCACCAGCATACGTGACACTCGCTTTGGGAAGTTTGCCAAGATGCCCAAGGTAAGAGGGCTCAGTAGCAGTCCAGACCCAAGGTGGCTCCACACCCCTCCACCAACTCCGTGGAACAAGGGTAGAAGTCCCTGCAAGGGTGGGACTCTAGAAGCAAGGGGGAGGGTTCCTGGACTGGGCAACAAGGACCCCAGCCCTGAACCAAGGAAGTAGTGTGGCTGATCCTGGACTTGCCTGAGCTCTGAGCTCAAAACTACAGCCCAGTGAGCTGAGGTACCAGACTCTGTGAGAAGGGCCCTGATCCTGCCCTTACAACACCCCAGATTGTGATGGTTTCCATCCCCCACCCTGTGACTGGTTTGCCTATATTTGCTTGATGTTGGTATCAAAACTGTGTTGGTAGGAAAATTGGAGGAAGGGATTGGTGGGAAACAGGATCTCTTGAGACTGGGAACTGTGTCCCTCTTCAAACATAAACTGATAAACAAAATCCACAGCACCTTCAATCCCTGCTCCATGGTTAATCTCTTCCTGTGGGCCTCTTCCTTCTTAGCCCAGCTCCTAGAATTAGGGATAAGAAGATGCTGAGACCTGTGGTCCCCACGATGGCAACGGGTTTCATTCCTGTGGGACAGAGTTAAAGTGGCTGGGAAAGAGGGAAAGGGAGAGCTAAGTTGGGACTGGGAAGAGAACTCCCCTCCTCCACCCCACCCCCACCCTCATCCTTACTTGTGTTGGCTACTTGCTGCAGAGCCAGAAGCTCCGGGATGTCTTCAACATGGATTTTCCTGACAACAACTTCCTGCTGAAGACTCTCACTGTGGTGTCTGGCCCTGACATGGTGGATCTCACCTTCCACAACTTCGTCTCCTACAAGGAGAATGTTGGCAAGGTGTACCAGGGAGCACCTGGCCTAGGGCTTAGCATCTGGGATAGTCTGGACTTCCTGAGAAACACAGGCCAGGTTGGGCTGCGAGGGGGGGGGCTCCTGTATGTATAGTCAGGGACCTGACCACTGCATTCTGTGGCCCTGCAGGACTGGGCTCAGGATGTACTGGCCTTGGCCAAGCACCCTTTGACGACCAATGCCCCCCGCAGCACCTTCTTGGACAAGATGTAAGTGCCTGCCTGCCTGGCCTTTGCCCTTGGGACTGAACATGCCAGTCCTCTGGCTTTGACAAGCTTCTTTTCACCCCACCAGCCTGGTAAAACTCAAGATGCAACTCAACCCCGAAGGGAAGATTCCTGTGAAGAAGTGAGCCTTTCCATCTCTTTTCCCACACTTTCGCCCAGCTCCCCAAACCTTTCTTTCTTCAGGTCTGACCCCTGTCTCTGCCTGGTGCTTTTCTCTGCTCCTTCAGTTTTTTCCAGCTGTTTCCTGCTGACCGGAAGCGAGTGGAAGCGGCCCTTAGCGTTTGCCACCTTGCAAAAGGCAAGGTGAGAAGCTCCTTCCCCTGACCCACCCCCAGTATTTTCGTCTCCCTTTGAGCTGGCTCTGGTCAAAGACCAACTTGGGGAGGGCAGAAATATCACAGTCCTATTTAATAGCCTGATAGACCAATGAACTCTAAGTCACTGGTTACTGATACTAAGCTTACTAGGCATAGGGTAGAACTGGAGCAAAGGAGAAGGTTAGTCTGTACCACATCCCACTAGATGGCAGGGTTTGGGGTTGGTGAAATATGTTCAGGACAATCAGTAGCTTCAGGAATGGAGAAAGTGACTATATTTTGCTTAGAAGAGTAAGATAAGGCTCAGCAGAAACAGGAGGCAGTCTACAGTGATCTGAAATATTCTAGGAAGAAACTGAAGGGTCTAAGGGGAGAGAAGGTGCCTGGTGGTGCATTGGCTAATGGTTGGCAGTGGGAATCCAGTGGTACCACAAATAAAAGGCTTGGTAGCCTGATTCCATTAAGATTGTTGTTGGGTGCTGTAGGGTTGATTCCAAATCATAGCGACCCCCTGTGACTGCATAGAACTTCCCTAGAGAGTTTTCTTGACTGTAGAGTTTTCTTTATGGAAGCAGATTGCCAGATTCTTCTCCACAGAGCTGCTAGTTGGGGTCAAACTCAGAACCCTTCAACTAGTAGCCAAGTGCTTAACTGTTGCACCACCAGAGCTCCTTTCCGTTAAGAGTACAGTCAAGAAAACCCTGTGGAGCAGTTCTACTCCGTGACACGTGGGGTTACAAAGAGTCAGAATCAACTCTACAGCAACCAGTAAGGGAAAAGGAGGGAAGATGCCAGACCACAGAATTCAGCTCAACATAGGAAAGCATTTTTTCCTTTCTTTTTATTTAGGTATTGTTATTGTTAAGTACCGTGGAGTTGCTTCCAACTCATAGTGACCCTGTGCAGGGTTTCCGAGGCTGCAAATCTTTATGGGAGCAGAAAGCCTCATTTTACTCCTGTGGAACAGCTGATAATTTCGAACTGCCGACCTTGAGGTTAGCAGCCCGTAACCACTATGCTAATGAGTTGTATGTTCGGTTACTCCATAAAGTAATTTATGCAAAGTACCAAAGGAGCCTCTGGACAAATGTGACCTTGAGTCAGACCTTGAGTCTTGGCTGGTGGAGTGGATCTCAGGCCCCTCTCCTCCACTTGGTCAGTGGCTTGTGTGGGGCACAGCCTGCTCCTTACGGAATCTTTTCTGTGAGTAAGGCTTTGGAAGGTTATAAATAAATAAAACTAAGCCCCATTGGTCACCTGTCCACAAGAACCCTAGAAGGAAGCCTTCCCCCAGTTATAGTTCTACGAAGCTGATAAGCCTTCCATGTGGCGTGGGTTTCAGGGGCTCTAAACGTGGGGTGAGGAAGAAGGTGGAAATGGACTCTTGCTGAGGCCAAGCTGTGACCAGTACACACCCAACCTCCTTTTCTCCTACTCCCATCTTGGCTAAGAACCTACCAGTTCTTATTGTGTCCCACCTGAGGTCATCTTTGTTTAGAGCTATGGCTCTGGAGGCAGGGAAAGGCTTAGGGAAATACACTAATTTTCTCCTGCTTAGAGCCAGGTACAGAGTCCTGATGTGGTGCTGTGGGTTAATGTGCTAGACTGCAAAGTCGATTTGAACCACAAAGTTGGTAGTTCAAGCTTACCAGCTGCTCCTCAGAAACACTATACAGGGTTGCTATGGGTCAGAACCGACTTGACGGCACTTAACAACAAGATCCATGTACTGGGTTTTCCTGGAAAATCTCTGGATATTACTCTATTTTCTGTTTCTATTTCTGTAGATTTGTTTATTCTGGACAGTTCATGTAAATGTAGTCATACATATGTGATTTTGTATCTGGCTTCTTTCACCTAGTCTGTTTGTTTTTTTTTTTTCTTTTTAAGTTTTTATTGTTGTTGTTGTTGTTAAGTGCCGTCGAGTCGGTTCCGACTCATAGTGACCCTGAACAGAATTTCCAAGGCTGTAAATCTTTACAGGAGCAGCTGGTAGTTTTGAACTGCTGACCTTGCGGTTTGCAGCCCGATTTGTGACCACTATGCTACCAGAGCTCCTTAAGTTTTTATTGTAGATTGAGTGAAAGTTTACAGGGCACATCATCAGTTTTACATTCAACAAATCATATAACATGTTTCATCACAATGATTACATTCCCCTCCATGTACCATCAGTTAACAGTATTCCTCTCTATTCACTTTGTTGTTGTTGTTAAGTACCATGGAGTCGATTCCGAGTCATAGTGACCCTGCCTAGGGTTTCCCAGGCTGTAAATCTTTACTGGAGCAGAACGCCTTATCTTTCTCCTGCGGAACCGCTGGTAGTTTCAAACTGCCAACCTTGAGGTTAGCAGCCCGATTCGTAACCACTACGCTACCAGAGCTCCTATTCACTTTAGCTCTTTAAAAAAAAAAAAAAAAAAAGAACACTCGCGCATATTTAATGATTTATACCACCAAAGGGCACATTCTGCAAGTCTGTCTCCTGGTCACCATGTCTTAGCCTCTCTCTTCCCATGAATCTAGAGTCCTCAGCTGTTCCCTCTCTCCATGTTCCCATCTCTGCCTCCATTTCTGGTGTCGCTGCTTCTCTGGATAAGGTCCCACATTCCACTTGTGCTCTTCTCCCTTTATGGTCCTAGGATCCTTTGTTTCTGGACTTTAAGATTAACTGCTCCCCCATTTATGTTACAAAACTTGTACCTTTACAATTGTGATAGTCGCAATTAGTCATGATAACAATTACTCACTATTGAATCATAAGAATCTTATCCCCATCTCTTTTAAACAGACTCATCTAGACAAGATGACAACTATTCAGTGGGGACTCTTTCTTCCCCCCTATACTCTTAAACTAAACTCTCTCTTGAAACCTTGTAAGCCAGTCCCTTTGTGCCTTGATTGCCCCCTCATTTTAGGTAGCCAATGTCTAAGTTGCCTGTCCCTATCTACCCTGTGTACAGAGGGGATACCATTGATACTTGATGTGAAGACTCCTTCCCTCTCTGTTGGTATTTAGAGTTACTACCTCCATGAATGTAGGTCAAGTTCATCAAATTGTAGCAATTTACCCTTGTTTCCTTTATCAAAAAAGAAAATTTTTTTTTTTTTTAATCTTCCTCTAGTCGAGTTCTGATTATCAAGCCATTGAGGCTAGATCAAATGGGTACTATCTGCAAGTTTGGGTGTTCTTGTGCATCTCCCCTCACTTCATATCAGCTGGATGCTTCACTCTCAGCTCTAGCCTTCTGTGGCTATGTCCTTGTCCATGGGCTCAGGTGTACCCAGGTCTCACCACACATTGGACCAGCAGCCCTTTCTCTTCTCTTTCTCATCTCCAGGTCAATGGGAGTTAATGGACCATGGTTGAATTCAGCCCATTTCTTCATTGCTGCCTTTCCCTCTCTTTCACTCACCAGTAGACCAATGTGCTCACCAGCAAGCTTACATGCCTGCTCATGTGTTCCCTTTGAGTTTCTGTCTTAGAGGGGGGTTTGTCCTGAAGGAAATTGATTGTTTGCCTTGGTGGCTTCCTAGTGAACAGTTTGCTTATTCTTGCAGTAGCCAGTCATGCTAACATTTTTATTTTGTTTTTTTCCTGATCATCTTTCTTTGGAGATGCATCTTCTGTCTCTCTAGCTGTTCCAGGCTGGTCTGCTTGTCCTTTCTAGTGGGAATGTCCCACCTAAGAAGGTTCTGGATGGGACTCAGGATTCCACCTAATGTCCTATACTCTGCAAAGGCTCTGCAAGAGGTCTGTTTCACTGGGCAAGTTCTAGGAACCCCTCTTAGGTATCCCAATCAGTTATAGGCTGAAGACGGACTTACAAGTTTTCTGTAATCATGTTTCCCGACATTCCTTTCTATCCTACTCAAGTGTCTATTTTATAATAATAGGCAAGGGAAACCAATATTCATAAGACAGTCATGCATCTTAGTATTACTTCCCATCTTCAAACTATGCCTAGATCCCTGTATCACAGAGCCTTGTTTTTACAAGGTTAAGCATGCATCACTATTTACATCTGTCCCACTTAGGTCATGCAAACCTGTCTCAGTGTTCCCCTATCTACCTTGTTCTTCCACATCCTTGCCCTTCTTGTATTGCCCTTCCCAAGACCTGAACTATGATGTGTCTGCCTTTACCCTGTGCTCTACCGTTGCCTCCCTCCACCTCCTCCAAAACTCCCCACCCCCACCCCACCATTGTGGTTACCTTATATTCCTTTAACTTTTCCCTCCATTTAAGACAGTCTATTTTATCCTGTAATTTACCTGACCTGCCCACCACCTAGATCTCTGTTCCTCTATGTTTACCTTCTTTTACAATGTAATTGTTTTGATCATAGATTGACCTCCCAGATCCTCTGAATTTGTTCTTATAGTTTTATTCTGTTTTAGACTCCTCCATTTATCGATTGACTTCCGGGTGATGCTGCCACATACATCAGTATCTGGTCGTTGTCTGTTCTTGTTGGTTCCTAAAACTCCTGTTAGGTTGTTTTTCATTGCAGGGTTGGCTTTGGCAAAATCCCTTAGCTCCTGTTTATCCTGGAATGTTTTTATTACACCATCATATTTGATTGACAGCTTTTGGGTAGAGGATTCTTGGTTGGCAATTTTTTCTTTCAGGGTTTTATATATGTCTCCCCATTGCGTTTTTGCCTGCATGGTTTCTGTTGAGAAATCTGAGCTTAGTCTGATTTGCTTGCCTGTGTGTATGTTACACTTCTCTTTTCCCTAGTTGCCTTCAGGATTCTGTCCTTATCTTTGGGTTTGGAGAGCTTGATTATTACATGTCTTGGTGATTTTCTTTTAGGGTCTATCCTTCCTGGGGTTCATTGAGCTTCTTGGATGCTTATCTTTTTGGTTTTCAGGATGGTAAGGAAATTTTCTTCCAGAAGTTCTTCAGCTATATCTTCTGTGGACTTGTGTGATTCTTACTGTTCTGGAATGCTGATAAGTCTTATGTTATTCCTCTTCATG